TTGTATAGGTAAAATACATGTTCACATGCTTGTAAATGCTCCCACACCCTGGCTTTTGCTTCTGAAATTCAGCTGCATCCTGAGCCCAGCACAGCTCCAGCCTCTTCACCAAGCACCCGGAGCAGGAGGAGCAAAGCCCCACCTGCATCCCACCTCACACCATCAGCTCCACAGTCAGAGGCATGGGGTCTCCCTGGAATTTCCCCAGGACATGCCTTTATTGGCAGCACCCAAACAGAGCCCATCCCAACGACTCAGCTGCTGCAATTTCCACGAAGGCTTTGATGCAATTGGAGGACTCGTTAATCCTTGTGCAGGGAAAAGCTTTGTACCTGAATCGGAATGTTTTCGGAGCTCCTGTTGTCCACGGTTGGTTTTCAGTGCATTCAGTCCATTGCAGAGATCCCCAGTCTGTGCTGCAGCTCACACTGGTGCAGATCCTTTTGAGTGCTCAGGGTGCACATGGTCCTGACAAAGGAGGGGACGAAAGCGACCACAGCTGGAAAAGGAAGGAGCAGCTCAGTGCTGACAAGAGCAAATACAATCCAACACTTCCTTTCTGTATAACCGTTGGCAAACACTTCTGATGAGCTTTAATGCCTCAGAGCGAAGCAAACAGACGGCAACGGGGTCAGGAAGAGTGAAGTGGGGATTTATTTTTTTCTGCCGGTCTCACAAATATCTTTGCAGATAGCAGTGATTATAAATAGTCCTTTGGCCATTTCCTGACTGTGGTTTGCCGACTCTTCCTTATTTATAGCAGTGCTGAGGAGTGTTCAGCGTTCTGTCCCAGCATGGGGCTCAACCTCCGTGTTTCGGGCACAGATTCCAAACTTCAGAGTGGGCACTGGAACAGAGGGAACCCCTCATCCCTCAGGGATAACCTTTGGCCCAGATGACTGAATGCTGTGATGGGATGAAGGGGATTGCAAGCTCTAGATTTACTTAGGAAGACAGCTACCAATAATTTCCTCCTCCAGTCTACTGAGCACATATCCCACAAAGAGGCTCCTCACTGGAATCAGCACAAGTGCCTCATGCAGAATCCTCATCACCTCGCTGGGCTCCGCCTTCACTGTATTGTCCTCAGGTGAGCTTTCATGGAATTGCAGAATCTCCTGATCTGGAAGGGATCAAGGATCAATCCAACCCCTGTCCCTGCCCAGACCCCCCAAAATCCCACCCTGGGCATCCCTGGCAGCGCTGGCCAAAGGCTCCTGGAGCTCTGGCAGCCTCGGGGCCGTGCCCATTCCCTGGGCAGCCTGGGCAGTGCCAGCACCTCTGGGGGAAGAACCTTTCCCTGATATCCAGCCCAAACCTCCCCATTTTCCCAAAATGGAGTTAGCTGTGAACTGTAATGCCCCTTCCAGGGGGTAAGTGACATCTCCCCCTGACTCCTTGCCCAACAGCCTGGCCCTGCTACCACCATCCCTGACCCCACAGCTCAAGCAGAATTCCAGGCTGCAGCAAGCAAACTCCAGGACACTCCACCGCCTCGGGATGGATGTTGTGCAGGCTTTGACACTCACACAGAGTAGCAACTGTTAGTGCTGCCTGCCTTACAAAGCACCTATGGGGAATACAGGAGAATACAGCACAGTAAAAGATTCTCAAGCCTGCAGAACCAGCCCTTGCATGTAAGTGCGTTGTCACGATCTTTAATCACTTAGGATTACTGCAGCCAGGACACCCTTACCAGCTCATGGGAGGTGGGTGTCCTCCCAGGAATTCTCTCCTGGCTCCTACCAGGATGGCATTCCCAGTCTGAGATGACTACAGAGCTTCCCTGGGATGATGAAAGCATTGCTGCTGCTTCATCTTGAGGGCAGGAAAGGAGGGAGAGGTCACTGAGTTACCTCTGGCAAGCCCAGCACTGTGCAGATGCTGATTTCCCAGGAGGAATTCAGCTTTTTCAGGCTGGGAATCCCACAGAGGTGTAAGCACCACTGTCCTCTCTGCTTGCAGCCACCAGAAACTGGACTAAGAAAAGTGATTGACCTTTATTGGAAAGTGTTCTGAATTGTGGTGTGGATGGCTCCTGGCTGCAATGGGCCTGTCAGTAGCTGTTACACAGGAAAGGTCTGAGGGCATTTCAAAATAATGATGTGGGTTTTCAGGCTTTGGTCACTGACCATGAGGAAGTTTTGAGAGACAAAGCCAAAATTTGGTACCAGTCAGAACAGAAGAGCCCATTGATGCTATCAGAGTGGCAAGACTGGCACGGCTAAAATGTCTGTCCCAAATAAGGACAAACATCTGTCCCAAACAGGTCACCTCATCAGAAGGGACTTCAGCCTGAGTGACCTGATGGGTATCTCACTCTGCCAGGAATAAAACATGCTTGGAATTTCCCAGACCTAATCCATAGAAATTTCCTAATCAAGGATGTCTTGGCTTGTAGGATTTCTGCATTAGACCTCACCCCATGGGAGGAGAAGGGGCTGTCCCTCAGGCAGGAGGGTCACCAGTGATTGTGTTTGTTGTGTGTAAAAGGCACGAAAGTGGCAGCAGGAACACAGGCGGATTCTAAGGGCAGGAACACAGGTAGGTTTCACAAAGCCAGGACCAACCAGCAGCCAAATCCCTCAGGAGGGAGGCTTTGAACTCTGGGATCTGACCCAGAACTGGGACCTCTCCCCTGTGGACCCCCAACCCCTCCACCCAGAGCGACATCTCTGTTTGCTGGGTAGACAAAGCAGACTGCAAAGCCATCGCAAAAAGATACGTGACAGGGAAGATCTGGTTGGGGTCTCTGTGAGTTTTACAGTTGCCACTCCTTTTCTGCATCTATTCTGTCTCCATGAACAGAAGAAATTGGAGGTTTGGGCTGAGGAAGCTTGGGGAGCTCAAACATTGTCCTTCCAGAAGGAAGAGGGTCCCCAAAAGAGGTGAAGGTATGATTTATCCACACGGTTTCATGGACATGGGAGGCAGGAGGCTTTTCCATGTTACAAATAGATCAAATGGAAGCAAAACAGGGTCAGGCTCAAAGCGAGGTGACAAAAGGATGGCTGAGCCACCATGAGCTGTGATGAGTTCTCCAGTGCTGAAGATGCTTCAAAGCACCCAGGGATGGCTTGAAATGTGCCCTCAGCCATGAGGACACAGCGGGCCAGGCATCCTTTACCTCCAGGCTTTGGGTTTTGGAGGTCAGCGAGCAGGTTTCCAAAGACAAAGGGATGTTGAGGCTATCTCCAAGCTTCTCCTCATCCTGCAAACTCTGTGTCAAAATGGCATTTTCCCCCAAACCCTCCTCAAACATTTGTTAAACACCAAATTTTGCTTTAGTCTGCTCCACAGGGGATTCCTTCTGGCTGCGCTTCATGCCAGCGCTGAGGATGAAACCTCGTGAGTGGTTTCTGCTTCTTGACTTCCCACATCCCTTCTAAGCTCATTCGGAAAACATCTTCCCTTGCCCAACGTCTCTACCAATTCCCCTGCCCCTTTGTTTTTATTTAGCTCTGTAATTACGCTATCTGACCGTACAGTGATTTGGAATGAAATCTGCATAAAAGATATTAAGAAAAATAAATCTGTGTTTTGCAATATCTTTGAAGTTATCTTTAGGCTGGGCAACAAGAGCAAAATCAGCATTTGGCTTTCTACAAATCTTTAGTTTTGTGGAGCTCTTGGGAAAGACGATTTCATGGGCTGGGGCTGGAAAATTCACAAGTTCAGATTATTTTATTAATACTATTAATAACTATTTTTGGCATTGCTTCACAAGGAAGAAAACATCAGGTATGTATGAGATGTAATTATGTTTATAGTTAATGCTGTGTGTTTTCCAGGGGAAAAAAAAGCACTGATTTTTTCCCCTTTCTTTTTGGAGGAAATCAACAAAGTTTGCTGAGCAGTGATGAGTGTTATGAGCATGTGGTGAGGAAAAGCTCTTGGTGGAGGGACAGGGTGTCGGGATGAGTTTTGTGTGATGGTAGAGAAAGGCTTTTCTCTGTTTGGTGTTGTGGCAAAAGAACTCAAACATGGGGGACCAGGAGCTGAGAGCTTCGAGGCTAAAATGGCAGGGGGTGATTTCAGCCCTGGGTGTGCTGGGGGGGAAAGAAAGTGTTGGGGAAGCAGGGGTGATGCTGCCCAAGCCATTTGGACAATCATGGAATCACAGACTTTCCTGAGATGGGAAAAACCAACAAGGATCATCGAGTCCCTGGCCTGTCCCTGCCCAGACCCCCCAACAGCCCCACCCTGGGCATCCCTGGCAGCGCTGGCCAAAGGCTCCTGGAGCTCTGGCAGCCTCGGGGCCGTGCCCATTCCCTGGGCAGCCTGGGCAGTGCCAGCACCTCTGGGGGAAGAACCTTTCCTGCTCTCCAGCCTGAGCTGCCCTGGCCCAGCTCCGGCGGTTCCCTCGTGTCCCTTCTGCCGGGCCATCTGTCCCGTCTCACCCCGTGTCCCCTGGGATGCCGCTTAGTCCGTAGCCCCTTCCCCGGGTGCTCAATGAGGTGTAGAGGCGTTCGAGGCCTGGGGAAGCCGTGCGGGACCCGGGCACTCCCGCAGCTCCCACCCGCCGGGCTCTCGCCCCTGCCCGGGCCGGGGGCACCGCGCCGCCCGGGACTGTCCCCGCGCCGGGCCGGGGTCCGCAGCCCGCAGCCCGGCACACGCACACACACACGGACACCGCGGGACACCTCCCGGGGGGCGCCGCGGCGCGGAGCGGCCCCACGGCGCCGAGCGGCCCCACGGCGCCGAGCGGCCCCGCGCCCGCCGGGCGGCGGCCGGGCCGGGCCGGGCCGGGCTGCGCGGTGCCCGGCGCGGGGGCGGAGGGCAGCGCGGGGCCGGCCGGGCGGGCGGCGGGGCTCCCGCGCCGGGCCAGACTCAGCCCCTTTCTGCCGGCGCCGCCGGCTGCGAGCAGCGCTGCGGCTGGAGCTGCCCCCAGAGCGGCTCGTGATGGCGGCGGCGCGGGCTCGGCAGCGGGAGGCGCCCGCCCAGCCCTGCGCGCCGCGCCGCTAGCGGCAGCGCCCGTGCCCGCGGCGGCCGCCCCGGCCCATGCCCCGGGGGGAAGGGGGGCTGCAGCAGCCCGGCGAGCCGCCCACCCGCGCAGCGGGGGCATCGCCCCCACTCGCCGCTCCTGGGAGGGCGGAAAGGAGGCAGCGGCGGCGGCGGCGGCTTTGTGCGCGGCGGGCGGATCGCAGGCCTCGGCGGCGCGGGGCTCGCCTGCTCCCGCCCCAGCCCCATGAACCAGCCGGACGGCTCCGCTCCGGCGGCGGCGGCGGCGGCGGCAGCGCAGGTACGCGGCGGCCGGGCGGCGTGTCCCCGGGGGGAGGCGGAGGGAGCGGGGAGGAAGGGAACGGAAGGGAAGGGAAGGGAAGGAGGGAGGGCGGCAGCCGCAGCCGCCCCGTCGCGGAGCCCCGGCGGCGCTTTGGCGCAGTGCGCGGGGGCAGCGCCGGCGGCGGCTCGGACCCCGCGGTGCCGGAGCCCGCGGCCGCTCGCACCGGGCGGAAAACA